TAGCTGGGACTACAGGTGCCCGCCACAGGCCTGGCTATTTTTTGGTTGCAGCCATCATTGTTATTTGGTGGGCCCGGGCTGGATTCAAACCCGCCACCTTAGATGTATGTGGCTGGCACCTTACCCACTTGAGCCATAGGCGCCAAGCCAACCACTGATGACTTTTTAACAGGGGAATGTACACCATCTGATCCCTGGCAGACATTTGGAGGATGAGCTATTGGGAGGATGGTAAAGTAGATCTCAGAGCTTAAATCTCTAATACATTAGTCAAATGTTGTTTGTTGAATTCTAGAGGTGTAGACTTTGTGCACAGGGTATTTCCATCAGTGAAATGAGATCTATCTGTTGTTAGGGTGGACAGCCAGTGCACATGGGTTGAGAAAGATTTCTCCAGACCAAGACCAACCATCTTTTCACCTATGGGCAGAGAATACCCTTGTAAGGAGACACTAAAACATGGGGAAGGGAAACAGAGATTTTTAAAAGTTTTATTTTAAGAGATGGACTCTTGCACTGTAACTCAGGCTGGAGAGTAGTAGCATCATCATAACTCACTGCACCCTCAAACTCGTGGGCTCAAGCAATCCTCCTGCATCATAGCTCACAGCAACCTCAGACTCCTAGACTCAAATGATCCTCTTGCCTCAGCCTCCCAAGTAGCCAGGACTACATATACCCACCACCACACCTGGCTAGTCTTTCTGTTTTTAGTAGAGATGGGATCTTGTTCTTGCTCAGGCTGGTCTTGGACTCCTGAGCTCAGGCAGTCCACCTGCCTCAGTCCCCCAAAGTGCTAGGATTACAGGCACACCCAGCTATTTTTTCTATTAATTATCATACATTCGGTTAAAGATTTTTACTTTAAAAAAATTCAATGTCATTTTGATGTAGGGTGGAGAGGTATGTGTGTGCAGGTGGGGCTGGTGTGATCTAGGGAAGGTTGGGGTGAGGCAGCAAAAGGGCAATCCAGGGAAGGCAGAGGAGGGACAGGACTTAAGAAATTTGGTGAAAGAGTCAACAGGATGTGGGGTGAGTAGCAAGCAGGGCCAAGCTGAGGTTTGCTGTCTGAAGATGGTGGTAACCTAGACACTGTCCTTCAGAATATGCTAAACACAGCTAGGCCTGGTCATTCGCCACCATAATTCCAGCACTGTAGGAGGCTGAGGTGGGAGGATCACTTGAGGCCAGGAGTTCACCCAGCCTGAGCAACATAGTGAGACTCCTGTTTGTATAAAAAATAGAAAAAATTTAGCCTGTAATCTTAGCACTCTGGGAGGCTTGAGGTTGCTGTGAGCTATGATGCCATGGTGACAAAGTGAGACTTTGTCTCAATAAAAAAAAAAAAAGAAAGAAAGAAAAAGAAAAGTCAAACCCATCTCCTCTTCATTCCCAACATCCTGCCTTTATTTATTTGTTCTGCATAAAAGGCTCTACTTCCTGCAAATGGGGTGCCTTCCACAGCAGCAAGGCCACAGGGATATACCTTAGAATTCCTACAAGGGGAGGACAACTTCCCTGGTGAGTTCAAGGGCAGAGAAGGGAAATGAAAGTCCTGATTCCTTTTTAGCACCCAAGAACTGCCCAGCTGATGAGGTTGATGGCTCAGATGGTCCTCCCTAAGT